TAAACTACAAGTTATAAAGAATTTCAATTAAAATTTTCAAAAAAACCCACATTGATTTTGTGAACGTAAAATACACACATAAAACTTGGGTTGCATAATGCATATTATGCAAAATGAAAAATTTGGTTTAATTCATTTACATACAAACATACATTATTCTCATGTTTAAATTTATTCACATTAGCTATTACGCGTTTACTAGAATAACTTTGAGTAAAAGTGTAAAAAAAAATTAAATCTGAATATTTTTAACCTAATATAAATTAAGATTAAAGTATGCATTAAATCTTTAAATATTGAAATAGCGAGAAAGAATAAAGCAAAGATTAAATACGGAAAAAAAGGAAACATTGTAATTAAATTAAAAACCCACTCTTAAAGTCTCATCTCTCACAAAATCAAACACACATATCTTCTTCTTAAGTGAATCTGATTTGTTTTTATACTGTTTGCATTAAACTATATGTGAATTAAATTTATACAATAAAACAAGAACTTTTACAACTTTTTTTATAGTATAAATAGTATGGTATACATAGAAAACTCCTTACAATAGGTAATTTTTTTAATTTTAAAAATGTAAAATAAAGTTTTAAAATTGTTGAAAATTTTCTTTTTCAGAAAAATAAGATTCGTAAACCTTTATTGATGTCTATTGATGTTCAATGTAGTCAAATATTAAATTTTATAGGAATCCATAAAACAGTTTATAAAATTAAATAATTCATTTAGCTTTGAAATTTGAAATGTTAAAGATTTGTTGCTAAAACTGAAGCACAAAGATTTATAAAAATTGTTGCACACAAATCACCAATAACTATCAAAAAATATGAATAATTTTTAAATCAACTTATGTTCAGAATGATTACAATTTTAGTACATTAAGCTTAATGGAAATTACAATAAAGAACGAATAAAACAGGGACTGTAATTAATTAGGCAGACAAAGTTAAGGTTTAGGTAGACGTAGATATATGCATAAGAACATATCACATTAACCCTCTTCTTCTAGTTTCTCAATGCTGAGAAAGCATTTGAAACAATTACAATTTCTGACGCCCATTGTCGGTAACACACAAAGAATGCGTTCCGTCAGACCGTTGCAGAACCAACACAAACGGTATGGTCAATTTCACTAAGGCAATATTTTACTGAACAATTATAAAGATTTTTATAAAACAGGAACGAATGATTTACGAGGAATTCTAGAAAAAACTCTTCAAAACTAAAAACTCAGTTCATTATATTATTTACAGTTTAGCACTCATTTATTTTTAAAACGCTTTAAAAACCCCCTTCTTTATCTTACACTTTCATATAATAATAAAAAAAGGATTTATTTTTAAGTAGGATATCTTTCCTACTATATACAACTTTTTTATTTTTATATTTTATATTGTTCTATATAATTTAACAAAAAAAATATCTAGAACAAAAACAACAAATGTCTTCGATAGGTACTTACTGAGTTTTTAAGTAGAATTGTTTCATCATTTTCGTTTTATAACATAAAAGAATGAAATGTGTTATGTAAGAAAGTTTTAGAACATAAATACAACTAATTTAAAATCAATCAAATAGAATTTCACAGGTCTCTAAAAAGTTTCGATATATTGAAACTGAAAAGAATAAAAATCAATGTAAAATCAACATTCTTAATTGCATGCAATAAAAATTTTAAACAAAATTTATAGAATTTTGTAAATAAAAATAAGGACGCTAATATTGCTAGATAAATTAAAATTTTTATTTTTAATTCAAAAATTAAACTTTGAATCTTACATATAAAAAATGCCTTATATGCTTATCAGGTCACCAAACGGAAAATATTTTCCCCAAGTATTCGGAAGTAACCAAATTTAAAAAAACAATTTTTAATGTTTTAAAATCCAAAGTATTCTTTCTCTCTAATTCAGTATTTTTTACCTTTATGAACGTATGTTCGAAGAGTATATTAAATTTGTCTTACCGTTTGTAACGCTAAATAATAATGGTCTGAGATGTAGACTGAAGTGTATGTTTTTGATCAGCGTCGAATTCTGAGTTGATCTTCCTTTGTCTGTCCGTCAGTTCCAACGATAACTCAAAAACTAATTGAGGTAAGTTCAAAAAATTTTAACAAATGATTTATTATAGTAAATGTCAGAACTCTATTTAAATTGGCTATGATTGGGGTACTGGTTCGGGTAGCTGCCATACAACTTCAAAATTTATTTGACTATGTATCACAAACTATAAAAGCTGTGATAGTAGGGCCAATGTGTTTGATAAAAATCGTTGAAATTGCTTGGGTCTTTCTGGTAGCTGCCATACAATATTAATAGCAATTTGGCCATATCTTAGAAAACATTGAAAACACAGTACTGAAATTTTGAATAAATTGATATAGCTATATATAAACTTAAAATCTTAGTCTGTCCCATGGTCAGCAATAGCATATTTACTTGGACATAGGATAACAAATTCGTACGAGTATCATAGATTTGACACGGTCAACTCTATTTTTTCTCGTTATTAATATTTTTCCCAAAAAATTAATAATAACACTAATATTCAACTAAAGTTTTACATATTGTAGCAAAATAAACGTTTATGTTTGCATTTAATTAGACACAATAAGAGTTCTAAGCTAAAAAGGAAACAGAACTTGATTAACTCATGTAGTATGCTTAGCATAACACAAAATAATGTTGAAATGTACTTTAAAATTATTTTAACTATATAGTTTTGAAAGGATTTTAAACATAAATTTTTAAAGCAGCACAATTAAATTGCGATGACAACCGTGAGAGCATTTGTTATACATACGTTCCTGTTAAATTTTTGTTTTATTCTATCTAATTTTATAGAAATTTTGAATGAATTTTTCGCTTCAACGGGAAAGCAAAAATGATATGTGTATTAGAATCATATTTTAAATAATTATGTGAGTTTATTTATAAACCTCGTATAAAGTTTTACTCTTAAAGACCTACAATAACAAACCTATATAAACATTGTAGTATATAGATATATATTGTACAAACACAGATGAAAACATGTTAGAATTCATGAACTAGTATTTTTTTTCCATAATAATTATATTATAATTATTTTGAATAAAAATTATGCATATATGTACGTAAATTATATTATTAATATTATAAAATTTTAACTTTTTCACTTTTTAAAATTACTTTCAATTATTCAAATGTAATTAAAAAATCATTTTAATTTTTAGAAGCAGAGAGAATTCAACCAAACACATGCCATGTTCATGTCAATTTATTTCAATTTAAATTTTTCACTAACCGTAGAGAATCCTGCCGCACAAGTTTTTCTTTATTTTTTTTTTTTTCTTATTATTTTATTAACAATATTTCATTGTATACTATGCTATATGTTTATACAATACAAACATATAACGCACATACTCTACATTGTATTAAAATTCGTGTATTTGTGCAGTTCATACACATATGAGATTTCAGTGCTGACGCGTACTTATAAATGAAATATTAAGAAACATTTTTTGTGATTCGTGTATATAAATAGAATTTCGTATTGCTGAGTTTCCCTGGGAATTTAAAATGGGAATTAAGTTTTATTCAATTGCGATTTCAGAATTAAGGTGTTTTAAATTCAGTTTGAAAAATATAATTTGCAATAAAAAATTATTTTGTTTGATATAACATCGTACTATGTTATACTATGTCATAATTTGTATAAATAACATAACAACATATTAATTCAAACAATAATAGCAATACTCGTATAAAATTGAAATGAAATATATTATGGTTTAATATGCATGTCAATTAGAATTTTGTGTCAGTGGCATTGTTTTAATTTAGAAGAGCATGATTTTACTTTCAATACTAATGGGAAAGAAAATAACAGAAATAATGAAAAACCTTAACATTTTTGCTAAAAATTTTAAAGCAATATATATATGTACGTTACATTGCTTTCTGTGCGAACTCTCAAGCAAACTGTTAAAAGTAATTTATATCTAGTTCCAGAAATATAAAATATTTTTAGCAAATTTTTAGAAAAATTAGAAAAAATTCTGTTCGTCTATGATCTTGCGCCTTCTAGCATAATTTTTGTTCATTTCAAAATAAAAACTTGAATAACAAAATGGTTGTTGGAATTAAACATTACTTAAAACCAGTTTTATTTCGAAAAGTTATTTATTGTTTCATAGGAACGTTAATTAAGGTGAAAATTTTTGATTGACGAAAATTATTGGAGGTAAATGAAAAGTTAACAAACTTTATTAAAGGTCTTAAGAACTAACGAATTTTGATTATATATTAAGTGAAAATATTTTTTCGAAATGTGGTTATTATGTGGTATTTATTTTCGAATTTGAGTTGGTTATTATTACGTTTTTCTTTATGAAACTTTAAAATTTAGCATTTAATAAATTTACTATCAAAACCATAAAGTAGGTTCATAAAGACCAGAAGTATTCGCTACTAACATTATTTATAATTATTTGCTTACAAATTGTTAGTTGTTATGGAAAGAAAATTACCATATTATTGCTGTGATGTTTTTGCTTCCTATTTTGTATCTCCATTTAAATATTACATAATTACAGTTGCAGTGCTTAAGCACGTTAAACAATTTACATATGTTAAAATATACAATTTTTGTTAATAAACTTTTCTGTTAATTAAAATAAATTGTTCTAGGATAGTTATTTTAAAATTTATGAAAAAAAAAAATAGCTATAAAAATTAACGAATTCGCGTATATGCATAGAAAAACTTTTATTTAAAAAAAATAAAAATAAAATAATTTATTTTAATTTTACTATATTTTTTGTTTTTATTTTATAATTATATTATGATTATTTGATTTTTGTATTATAAAATTTGAAATTTCATTAAACTAAAAGAAACAGTTTAAATGTACAGAAAGTTATAACTAAATTTTAGAACGAAAAAATTAAACTGTTATAGAGTAAAGTTATTTTTGTTCTAAATTTAAAAATAATTAAATAAATTGCATACCAGAATATTATTTAATGTGAATGTTAAAACAGCTTTGGGACGTGATGGTGGACATGTACAATTTCCTCTTAAAATGTCGCCCGGCTCATAATGATTTTGATCTGTCCAAATTATTGGATGTCCTTTAGGTAAAACTGAAACGGAAAAAATGGAAAGTGTATAAAAATTATAGTTTTAATTAATGCGAAAATATATGAATTGTTTTAATACGTTCAATACAAATTATATAATATACCTACATACATATACCGTGAAAAATTATTGCATTAAAATTTAAATGATCAAAAGAAATCAATATCAAGACAGTGCAGTAATGTAATTATTTTAATAAGCGTTACTTCAATTGCCAATTTCAACGTAGTTTTGGAAATCTTAACATTTTTAATAAAATTAGTGAAAATTTTATTAAGAATTTATTAAAAACGCAATAAAGCTATTTTGGTTATAAAAACATACCAATGTCACTTTGTGAACACTCTAATTTATTTAAAAAAAGATTTGATTATTTCTTGAAATTCTAATTATTTGTTCTGAATAAATAAAGACAATTTCTTAGCAAACCAATAACAAGCAGTGTGAAGGCGAAAACAAAAAAAAAAATAAATCAAATGTAATAAAAAATTTACAAATTTCCATTTCCATTAGATTTTCGATTAAGATTGCCTTCCACTTCCTATGCTGACCCTTCCATATAAGATATAAAGAATATAATTCAGTTCTTCAATTTATAAATAAACGTATTATTCAATCCTTCAACTGGTATCCTTCAATTTGAAAACAAAAAATTTTCTAGTGACCATATGTAACAGTATTTCTGGTCACAAATATCAATTTCTATTAAATTAAATTATCATCGTAACATTTTTTAATGTTATTATACACCTGTTGAATATTAAATTTTTCCAACCGATAACTTAATAATAAAAAAGAAAATTTATCTTTTGATAAAAAGAAAAAATCTAACAATTGAAGGTGAACTTTGCTCAATTATCGCCATATAAATGCCATTAAATTACCTTTATTAGGAAATTGTATGATGAAGAAGCAAAAAAAAAAACAAACACATCGTATATTTCTGCCATTTTTTTGTGAAATTTTCAAAGAAAAACTTTTACCAAAAAAAAATAAAATTCACTTATATTCAACAGATTATCGAGATTATAATATTATTCATCCTTAACAAATCCATGACAACGAAAATAAAATGAAAAGTAAAATTGTAACCAAAATCACAACCAAAAATACCGACATAAGTTAGACGGTAAGTGTCTAAAATATAAAGTTTAAATAAAAAAAAAAAAACAATAAAAATTCAAAAATAAAAAAAAGAACAACGCCATTTCTAAAGTTCAAATATCATGAATAAATGACACAACGAGTAAATTGCTTTTAAAACTCGGAAACAATCGACTTTAGCAAAACTGATAAACGAAAAGAACACACAGAAATGCCAAAAAAAAAATAAAAAAAAAGTGTGTAATAAAAAAACAGGACGAAGAACAATAAGAGCAAGCATAAAAAAAAATAATAAAAAATAAAATGTGACATTTAAAAGTAACTCAAAAATGACCTGTAAATTGCGGTTAAACAAAGTGGAAAGAATCACATTTTAATGAAGTTAAAGCGTAATATTTTACCATTCCTTCCCCAGCACACTTTTACGTTTTTCTTGTATTCTTTATGCTCCTTTATTTTTTCATTTTTTTCATGTTATTATTGTTAGACCCTACCAAAATAAGGATAACTGGTTTTTGTGTTATTTGTATGTATAATAGAATAACGCTTCTGAAAATGGTTTACAATGTGGACAAATGAAAAGAGAAGAGATAAAAAAAATTGTAGTATATGAAAGTTTAAACTATGTCTGAGCAAAAAATATTTTCGGTATACAAATACTTCACCGCATAGACATATGAGTTTCATTATAAAGATGAAGAAATAATTAAAAATTTTTATTATCTATTCGTTTTTCATATAATTTTTTTTTTTTTCATTTCCCGTGAGAAATCGAAAGCATAAAAAGTCAAAAAAAATAAAATTTCGACTTCTCTAATCACAATTTTAATTCCAAATTAGATATTTGGATATTTTCACTTTTTATTTTAGCTATACTTTTTCCATTTCGATGTTATTGCTTCCGTAGTCTACATTCCGAATATACCAATAATTTATTTGCTTTCAATTTTTGTAAAATCCGCGAAATGTATGTCAATTATTTATGAAAAAATTACATAATATTTTAAAAAATGGTTTGCCCGAAATACTCTGCCAATTACAATGCAAATGGTTTTAATATATTTTTACTAAAAATTTATATTACACATATACAAAATATTCGCATTGCAAGTTTAATAATTGCATATCCTTATAAGGTGTCTCCGTTTACTTTATGTTTAGGTATAATCTGCTGTTACTTTGTAGCACAAAACAAAAATTCAAAAATTTAACTTCGCTTAATTACAAAATAAATAATTTTTTCACTTTCAAAGTTAAAATTTTTCCGCTATGTTCTATGAAATAAAAATAAACCGTTAAATTTTCAGTAAAATTCGACGAAAAATATTTTTCTTTAATAAATTTCTGAAAAACGAAAATTCAAATTAAAACTTGAAATTAAAAATTATATGAAATCTTTTTTATTAATATTCTGTAATAATTTTCACTGTCAATTGACTAAAAATTAAATTTGAGTACTTAAAATATTTTGAATTTAAAATAAAATATGTACGATGGTATAAAATTATATTGTATTTGGTCCCATATAATTTCATACCTACAATATAATCTAAATATGCATGTAAATTTTTTCTTGGAATACGAATATTTATTTAGAATGAGAAATGGGAAAATTTGAATTTTGTACCGAAAATTGTACAATATACGAATATTGCATAATCATTCTTTTTGGTATCACTTTAAAAATTGATGAGAGATACGGGAGAAAATCAAACGAAAAAATCATTGTCAAATTATTTTTTTCTTTATATTTTCACGTACTGAAATTATTTTGACACGTTGTCATAACGTGTCGTAATATTATACAATTTTCATAAAATTCTGTATATGTACGTAAATCGAAATACTTATATGGATATTACATACTCTTATTTTTAGGTATAATAACAATATTTTACAAATATTACAAAATTTACAAATTCGCTATAATTTTTCATCACTCCTTATAAAATATTTTGAATTATAATGGCAAACTTTTAAAAAGTATATTGTAAAGAATTTATAAAATCATAGAAAGAAGAATATAGATTATGGAGAATAAATAATAACAAGGACTTTAAATTTTAAGAGTATAAATTTATTAAATTGAAGAGTCATTTTTATTGCAATATAAATGGGTGGCTTCCGTAAACAAATATGATAGTGTATTTTGCTTTTTCTAATTTTCTAGCTGTATATCTGTATGTCGTCGGTTAAAAAGCAGAAAGCATTAAGTCAGGAAACTGTGTTTTGACTAAATTCAATTTTAAAAAATCGTAAAATTGTAAAACTAATCAATTAGTGCGATGGGATTGGTCTCTTTGATTTCCGGATTTATAAACTATATTTTGGATTTGCATGATTTTTTGACACAACAAAGATTATATTATTCTGATTTAATTTATCTATGAAATCCAAATTCTCGAAAAATGCACTTAGTGCTTTCTGCCTTTTAACCGACGATATTATGCTTTAGAGATTTTAATTTTTTTCAAAACTTGTATTGAGATTTGTTTGAAATTTTTTGTAGTGAAGACGTATAATGATGGCACATACATTGTTGAAATACATACAATTTTTTATTTTAATAATAAAAGATTTTCCCATATTAGATTTTTAGGAAACAGAACTATTAAGACGGGCAATAACTCATCCAATAACAAAATTATAGGGCTTGACTGACAAATTATTGATTAAGTATTAAACCCATTCAACAAAATGTATCAAAATCCAAAATCACTTATTATCATAAATTTAACTTATTTAGCAATATTAAGCAATATAATAATTTATTTAAAATCTGTTAGGTTGAACATTATATAACGTAGACAAAATTCGATTGTCGTCGAAACTTTGTTCCTCCATCATATGTCACATATTTATATTTCACATTTTTAAAAAATATGCAAATGAAAATTCAATTATTAATTAAAATCGCTCAAATGCATAAGATCAACATTATTTTTGCATTTCCATTCTAATATTCGCTCCGATAATACTGTGAATTCTGTAATGATGTGCTGCTATGGTAAAATGAGCAATTTCAAAATATTAACTGGATATACATACATCTTTTAAGCACTTGAAATGAAGAGTTTTTGTTTTGAGCTTTTTTTTTTGGTTTTCTTTTTAACCCAAAATTAAAACTTAAATTTCAATTCATTTTTTATACCCAGTTTTTATTAAATATTTGAGGCAGATCTTTTCTATAGTATTTTGTTGAGATTTTCAACCACAAAACTGCCGGAAAAAGAAATTATAGATATATATTTTTTTTTCAGAAATGAGGGTACCGAAAAAGGTACGCTAATTTAAAAGGTAAAACAAAGAAAGAAAATTTTTGCCCTTAAAATGGAATTAAATAAACAAAAGAAGAAAGTAAAAGCAAAAAATAAAAAACCGTAGATAATTTACTAAAAAATAAAACAGGGTGATTATTAATTTAAAATGCCGTAAATTCGTTGTAAATAGAACAAATTGATACGTCAGAAATATAAGACAAAGTGTAATTACATAGTAGGGTCATTGATTTTGGTAAAATTATTTTCTTAAGGCCTCAAAACAATTGTTAAAGTTAGTAGATTCTTAAAATTTTAAAAAGCCGAAAAACATATTTTCCTCTTAGTTTAATCATTCAAATTTATAATTTTAGGTGTAAACACTAATTTATTTCTTTCTAATTCTATTTCAAATAATTTTTTTTAGACTGTCACACTGTTAAGGAATATTGAAATAAATTCTATATCATATGAAACATACTGTAAGAATAACGGAAGAATATATCAATAATTTGTTTAAACGAAATTTTATCCCAACAGTATTTACACTAAACCAGTCCGGTCAACGAAATGTTTGTTTATATGAAAGTTCCTATGAAGTAAATAAAAATTGTAAGCAAAAAAAAAATACTAGGAAGAAA